GTACCCGGCTGTGAAGCCGCAAGCAGTCACAGCTGGGTGCTCACACTGAAGATGCCGGCCTCCTGGAATACAGGACGGCCAGTGAAATGGGCTGTGGGACACACACCTAGGGACAGGTAAGTGGCTGTTTTTTAAAAGTCAGCAGCTACAGTTTTTGTAGCTGCTGACTTATTTTTTTACAGGATGAGTGGAACTCAGCTTTAACAGTTTTATTTCCTCATTGACATCATTGCGCACAACCCACCGCTGTGGGGAAATGAGAAGACCTGTGACATCACGTGACTAAACCAAAGCCTGCCAAAGTATAAAAATAATAATAAAAACAAATATGGGGAGGTGCAACTGCTATACCAGAATTAGTTCTGAAAACAAGCTATCACCAACATCTGTTGTTGTAGGTATTGTGGATCAATTCATCCTCAAAGGTCACAACAGAAGCACTAAAGTCTATTTCACAGTAGTGACTTAATTACCTTTTAACCTCCCTAGCGGTCTGATTATGTCAATATTTCTGTGCTCAAAGCGGTAATTTTTTTGCATGGTAATATGTAGTTTTTTTTATTGTAGGCCTGTAATTTTTAGGAATAACTCACTGAAATCTGTCCGAACAAGAGTCTAGTAAACACTCCATGTATGATAAAATTTGAAACACGAAATCATAAAATTATAATTTAATAATCATAAAAAATAATATAATAATAAATTTAATTCAATAATATAATCATTTTCCGTGTCTGATGACGAATTTCCCCAAGAATCGTTATCACTCAATTCTGCAAGTAGTTCTAATTTACTATTGCTTTTCTCTAGCTGGTCTAAAACCGCTTTTGACGGTTTTTGGACGCCATCGACTTTTCTCAGTTTCAAGGCAGAAAGAACAGTAAAAATGCAGGCAGGGCACAGGACAAAGCACTCGGGATAAAATGTTCATGAAATGGTTTGATACAGTAATGTTTTACTATGTGATTTTAGTGAATGTCACTTTTAAAATTCTCAAATTTCCCACCAGTTCCGTCCCTGTACGTCCTGACGTCGCAGGGAACGGAACCCAGAAGACAGATGCCGGCATTGGCTGGAGGACATCGCGGGAGTGCAGGACAAGGTAAGTGCAGAAAAGATCCCGGAGCAGCGCTGCAAGGTATTCCCGACTGTAGCTCAGGGTTACCGCTTGTGGTGCTGAAACTTTAGCCTGAGCTACATTTGGGAATACCTCCAGGGAGGTTAATTTCTATTGTAAACACAGCAGAAGGTCTCGGAAGGAAGGAGAGTGAAAAGAGCCTCTGAAAAAATGTCTGTGAAGAGAGGATGAATTGCGCCACAGTGTCTGCAATTACAGAGATCAGCATGTGTTTGTTTTAAAGCTCATTTATCACTAGTTAGGAACAAGTAAATTATGAATATCCATATCCATTTGTCACAGGTTTACATAAATTATCAATGTAAATCAACTACCTAGTGTAATACATTTTTCAATGCAGTCTGTCACTTATGCATTATTGCTGCACTTGCTTACTAAATTCAGTCCATGCCTGCTACAAAAAAAAAAAAAAAAAAAAGTGGGCTAAACTAGATTACAAGGACTGTTTCAATGAATGTTGAGTTTCCATGTGAGAGGTTGTCCTGGTTGTCCATAACATAAACAGTCAGAGTTTTGTTTTTTACTTCAAATGCAACTCTACCACTGGAAGGGTAATTATTGCAAGTAATACATAGTTACATAATTTGAAATACAACATGACAAGTTAAGTGTAAAAATAACCTTATAACTATACTTTGTCTAAAAACATATTTTCCTATGCATACCAACACACTATTCCCAACGCCCATGTTCCTATAGAAATGGCTGCAATGACCCCCGGCTGGAACTCGACCATATAGTCAGTGCAAGAGAATGTCACCAGCACACTGTGGATCTTTTGAGTGGATCCAAAGCTTTATTCAGCAATCACATTGTTACAACACATGGTAGCATTTCGGAGCCTCGCAGGACCCCTTCATCAGGCATGTGGTCCTGTGAGGCTCCAAAACATTGCTATTTGCTGTAATGATATGATCACTGAATAAAACTTTGGACGCACTCCAAAGATCCACAGTGTGCTGGTGACATTCTCCCACTCTTCTTAAGCAAACTAGTTTCACAGTTTTATTCAATCTCAACTTTAGCAGGTAAATCTTAATCTGTGTGTTAGATTACAGCAAGAGCATTTTATAGATCTACAGTATTTTATTTTTCTAAACATATAGACCCGAGCAGCAAATGGCTGTCTACATAAGAAACAAATTATCTGCTTTGCATGCTGGATACAAAGTAGCCAGTATGAGCAGGTTCACCATACATATCAGTTTAATACCAGTTCATAGGTACCACTGTGGCACCACCAAGAGCAGAGGATAGGTAAGTTTAGGAATTATGATTAACAATAAACCTCAAGATGTAAAGCTATCCATATGATCTGCTCTGAGGCAGTAAGCACACCTCAACATTTTCAGAATTTATTCATTATTAGTGATTGAAAGCATGAGAATAGCAGCTGTGTGCCAGATTGTTAAATGGTTTACATGTGTAATATAATTGGATTGACATATGTCAGTCCTAGTGCTTCCAAATTATGTATTGTTAGGAGACATGGAACTGACCAAAAGCATCAGCTGCAGTCATAGTTGCCAAAATTCTTCTGTCCTTAAACATGAACTGTGTACATCCACATCCTTCTTGAATATGACTTTGCAGGATTTCTGGTCTACTCCCCTGCAACACCCACCCTGCTGGGAGAATAGCCTAATGGTCTTAGGTGGTGGATTTCTTTTTTTTTTTTTTTTTTTGTCTTTGGCCTGAGCCAATCAGAACTCTAGAGCTTTACACAGTCACGTTAAAACTAAACATGATTATAGGGTATGAACGTGGAGTAACATCCTCTTCACCATGCTGCTTCTTCATTGTCCAGTCAGAGGCTGAAATGAGTCCTTGACATGACTGTATTGCTCAACTGTAGCATTGGCTGCAAGGAGATGCAAAATGTGGTTGTGTGGTCTGACAGATGGATCACAAAACTGGCTGATGAGAATTATAAACCTTTTGATAGATAAAGCAGTTCATGTATATGTATTTCATTGTATGTTTACCAGTTTGCATTAAGGTCAATTTTAAAGCTTTCAAAATCAAAGCGTGGCTTGTTTACATATCTGCAGAGATGATAAATGCATCATCTGCTCTTTGCCTACTGTAAGGAGATGTAAAACATAACATTTACCCTCCAATACATCTAACTGGATGATATAAGAATTGTTGGTTTCTCAATCAATTACCTACAAAATGTGCAAACTTGGGACTGGAGGGTCCCCATGGTAGGGAGATACACCATTAAAATAAAATGTTCTTGGTCAATTTGACTCTGGGACTTCAAAGTACCTATTAAACCATGTGAAGGTCAGAAGTGGGACTACCTGCTAATGAAAATAAAACAAGTAACAAACATTACCTTAAAAAAAACCCTGACTATAATATAGGGTGTCTCTGAACAATTTGCAAACATTGGTTTGTGCACTAAAGATATTGATCACTTACAAACTGTTCCAGCACTATTTTATTTGAATTGGTCATGCCATCCAAAAGTGATATTTCCATTAAAAGTTTTGTATGGTGGACTGAATCCTCCTCTAGTTTCCTACATTTCCTGAGGACTCTCGCAGCATGATCTCTCCATCATAGGTCCAGGCCCTGTCTACCTGCGAGTGTGGAACATTCCCTCTCGTCTAAAGGATCCTTGCATTTCTTCTGTTAAATCCATCTAATGACTATGGCACATTTGCAATCGTGGCACTGGATAAAGGTTTGATAGAAAACAGAGAAACTACTTGCCTGTTTTCACACTGTGGCTCCTTTGCCAGACAGATCGACAAAGCATTGCTCTCTAACTCACAAAGTAGATACTGCAGGGTTTCTAGTTACAAGGAACATTTCCCTGCTTTAGCCAGTGAAGGATTGCCGCTTTGGAAACACCCAAGTAGTTCCTCTGCCCTCTTAGAAAAATACTTGATTTAAAGTACAGTTTCTCCCAAAACACAACTTTTCATTTCTAGGGCCTTTGAATTAAATCTGAGAGTTCCATTGTTAACTTCAGGGTGTATATGCAGGAGTTACATCATCAGTGCCCGCTTAGTGGGCAAAACGAGAGGACACTGGCTCTGGAAAAGAGAAGGACATGGCAGTGGTGGTGACAGAGTGAAGTCCAGGATCTCAGAAACCTGGATTGTTGTGAAACACACCAGAGGTAGGTGTTCCATAATGTGCTGTACATACTTGAACATTGTGACAAATGCAGCCCAACCTCACCGCCAATTTAATGTACAATTCCAGACTAACACTACGTGCAAACTGTTCCCCCCCCCCCCCCCCCCCCCAGTAGTGTATTTAGGTTTTGTGCTGCCCTAGCCAACACAAAAATGGTCTGCCCCCACATACACCAACCAACAGCACCCCTACTTCCCCCTCCAGCGGAAAGTGCCTGACATTGACCAACAACACCCCTGCCCCCCCCACCGAGGAGAGCCTTCTTTTACCCCCCCGGCATTAGAGAAGACGACACTCATCTTCACAGCTCCAGACATCCCCGGGAACGAGAGGCAGGCTCTACATCCACCATCAGGCAGTCGCAGCCTCATGCAGATCACACCTGGTTCCCATGGCATGCATATCCCTTCTTCTGGGGAGGAAGGGGGGGGGGGGGGGGGAGAAGAGGTACCCCCCCAATGAACACTGCTGCCATAGGCAAGTGCCTTGCGGTAAATAAGCCCCTGCTCCCCCGTTACCTACTATTCCACTTGAATTCCTCTTTAAGAAACAGTAGTTGTCAGAAAATGCCCTGCAATATGAGAACAAAGCACTAGGGGTTGCAGAACCTTCCCACACCCAAAATGTGTTACACTCTTACAAATGTAGACTCGTTAAAAAAGAGAAGGCCAAATAATTAGTCAATATCTTTACTGTGAGAGGATTTGTGCTACCAGTCTGTACACAAGTCAAAAACCTTTTGGGCACAGTATACTAGGGCAGTTAGTGCAATAAAATTGTGTAGTCTTTTGCGGTGCGTGTCCTCCTTCCGGACCAATACTATGGGTGAAGAAGTCCTTAGAGTTCCTGGAGGGAGCAGTGCAAGCTCTTGCCCACTCAGATCGACCTGATAATGGCAACATGGATCAGACTGCCAGGAGACACCATAAAGGGCAGCACATACCACACTTAAGGCTCCGGCTGGTAGTCCTAAATAATGAGCAGTGGAGCTAGTAAGGCCAAGAGGTGTCAAAAGACAAACAATTCCTGTTACAACTGAAGTTCTGTGTAGACAATTGCCCACTGAAATCCAGCGGGCAGTCTCATCTCCCAGGCGTGCTGGTTCAATCACTATATATTGATACTGGCGTTCCAGTGCAGCATCTAATTCTGCTTCAAACTGTTCCTGGGAGAAGTCACCATCATAAACTTCATGAATTACATAGTAATCCATATGTGGCGGATAAATCCTGCAAGACATAGAAAGCAAATACAAGTTTGTTAGAATTTTTAAGTGCCTCCTACTAGAATAAACATGGAAAAAACAAGACACCCCCTGCAAAGAAGAGAGTTCATCTCTCAACGCTGATCTCCATTCGTTTGCAGAGCTATCAAAGCAGAAGAATCGCCAATATTCAAAACCCCTCCTGGTGTGTTGGAAGCTTGGTCCCTCTCTGCATTCATTGCTTTGATCTGCCAATTCCTATGTCACTAATACGTTCTGTGGTGACTCCGGGATCAAATGACACACAACCGAGAAAGCTCCTCTAGCAGCTCCAGGACCCCTAAAACCTGGGGCTGCCCATATGCAAATAGCAACCACCTAACATGATTTCCACCTCTATCATAGTAGTAGTGGCCCATAACAGTGATGGGTGGCCTCATTAACCAATAGCAGAACACATAAAATGGACAGATTGGACCCTCCAACATGGCTAGAAGGTAGGCACAACTGTTTTTCTGGCCATTTCTCTACCTTTCTGATCACAATTTCCCCAGTTTAAGTCACAAACCTTTGTGAAAAGTTTGCTGTGAAGCGATTTTAAAAAGGTTAATTTTTTTTGGGGGGGGGGGGGGGGGGGGAGAATAACAAACATGTCTATACTTATCTACTGTCTGCGCAGTGGTTTTGCACAGAGCAGCCTGGATCCTCCTCTTCACGGGTCCCCCACAGGCTCTCCTGGCCGTTCCCTCCTGTTGGGTGCTCCCAAAGCAAGCATCTTGCTAGGGGGAGCTCCCGCTGCTCCATGTGCTCATTCACACACAGAGATGCGTCTTGGCCCCACCCCCTCTCCTCATTGGCTGTGATTGACAGCAGCGGGAGCCAATGGCTGAATAAATGCTGGATTCAGACATGTGCATTATGACACAGTGACACACAGGTATATGCGAATTGCTGTTCATTGAAATCCCAGTGCAAATACACAGTAACAAAAAATCCACCTGTATGTCAGTGTACATAGTTAGTCTGGCTTAAAAAAAAAAAAAAAAAAAAAAAAAAAAAAAAGTTATCCCATACCCATAGTTGATCCAGAGAGGCAAAAAAAACCCCCCCCAGCAAAGCATGATTTAATTTGCTCCTTAAGGGGAAAAATAGTGTAGGTGTGCTTAGTGTGGACTTTTATCAGTTCTGTCATGCAATGTTTTTACCCCCTTCATGACCAAGCCTTTTTTAGCTATCTGCCATTGCGCTGCCAACTGGTAATTACACGGTCATGCAATGATGTACCCAAATTACATTTTTATCAATTTTTTCACACAGAAAAGCTTTTGGTGGTAATTGATCACAACTGGTTTTTAAATTTTATTATGCAATTTAAAAAAAATATATATATTTTTTTTTCCCTTTCTGCTATAAAATATATCCAATAAAAAGAAAAAAAAAAAAAAAAAAAAAAAAAAAAAAAAAATCAAAATTTCTTCAGAAATTTAGGCCAAAATATATTCTGCAACATGTCCTTGATTAAAAAAACAAAAAAAAAACCCTTTAACAAATGTATATTGATTGGTTTGTGTGAAAGTTATAATGTCTGCAAACAATGGGATATATACTGGAATTTTTATTTAGGTTTTTTTAAATAGCGGTGATCAGCGACTTTGGGCTCATTCACACGATGGTGCAGAGATGTCAGTTTTTCTGCATGCATCCTGCGTTCAATTGCTCTCTATGCGCCCTGTTCATACCACAACACTAGTATCATGTGCAGATTTTTTCCGTGCAGGAATATGCAATGTGTTTAAAGCTCATTGAGGAGTGCAGAAAAACTGATGGAAACTGACATGCAGATTTCATGTCAGTTTACATCAGTTTTCTGTACACATGGTGTGAACGAGGCCTTATAGTGGAACTGTGATACTGCAAAGAATAATTGAACACTAATGGACACTTTGTGGGAACTGACATCACCAGTGACACCAATACAGGGATCAGTGCTAATATACACGGTCACTGAACTAATGACACTGACTGGGAAAACGTTAACATCTAGGGGCAATCAAAGGGTTAACTGTGTGCCTAACAATGTTTCCTGTGTGTTAGATGTGCTGTTTTTACTAAGCAATGTACTACTTTTTACTCCCGGCTTGTCATTTACCAACACAGGGCTCTTCTGTCATTCAATGAGTTATGGCTGGGACCCCCCCCCCCCCCACTGATCGGTTTGTGCTGTACTGAATGACAGAACAGTCAGAGTGGCAGAAGTCGTCCCCCAGCCGGAAATGATAGATCACATACATGTACAGTGAGAGCCGATTCATGCATGTGCGGTGTGGATTGAAGCTCAAGTTTCACAGCTAACTGATACAGTAGTTCAGCCATTCAGGTCAGGTTTACATCAGGTTCAGGACAGGATTTTATCAAGTTCACACATGTGGTCTAGAAATGGTTCCCATAGAAGTCAATAGCCTGTACTCCACACCTTAACCTGACCGCACTGCTCAGAAATCTGATATGATTCTTTTTCAAACCGTACTGAATCCGCACCGCCAGTGCACTGGACATACACTAGATTGCCAAAAGTATTGGGACTCCTGCCTTTACACGCACATGAACTTTATTGGCATCCCAGTCTTAGTCCGTAGGGTTCAATATTGAGTTGGCCCACCCTTTGCAGCTATAAACAGCTTCAACTCTTCTGGGAAGGCTGTCCACAAGGTTTAGGAGAGTGTCTATGGGAATGTTTGACCATTCTTCCAGAAGTGCATTTGTGAGGTCAGGCACTGATGTCAAATGAGAAGGCCTGGCTTACAGTCTCAGCTCTAATTCATCCCAAAGGTGTTCTATCGGGTTGAGGTGAGGACTCTGTGCAGGCCAGTCAAGTTCCTCCACCCCAAACTCATTCATCCATGTCTTTATGGACCTTGCTTTGTGCACTGGTGCGCAGTCATGTTGGAACAGGAAGGGTCCATCCCCAAACTCTTCCCACAAAGTTGGGAGCATGAAATTGTCCAAAATGTCTGGTATGCTGATGTCTTAAGGAGTTTCCTTCACTGGAATGAAGGGGCCCAAGCCCAACCCCTGAAAAACAACCCCACATCATAATCCCCTCTCCACCTTACACAATGCAGTCAGGCAAGTACCATTCTCCTGGCAACCGCCAAACATGTCCATTGGATTGCCACACAGAAGCATGATTTGTCGCTCTAGAGAACATGTCTCCACTGCCCTAGAGTCCAGTGGTTGCGCGCTTTACACCATTGTATCCAACGCTTTGCATTGACTTGGTGATGTAAGGCTTGGATGCAGCTGCTCGGTCATGGAAATCCATTCCATGAAGCTCTCTACACACTGTTGTGCTATTCTGAAGGCCAAACGAAGCTTGGAGATCTTTAGCTATTGACTCTGCAGACAGTTGGCGACTTCTGCACACTGTGCGCTTCAGCATGTGCTGACCCTATTCTGTCATTTTACATGACCTACCACTTTGTGGCGGAGTTGCTGTTGTTCCCAGTTGCTTCCACTTTGTTATAACACCACTAACAGGTGACCGTGGAATATTTAGTAGCAAGGAAATTTCATGGATGGACTTATTGCACAGGTGGCAACCTATCACGGTACCACGCTGGAATTCACTGAGCTCCTGAGAGCGACCCATTCTTTCACAAATGTTTGTAGAAGCAGTCTGCATGCCTAGGTGCTTGATTTTATACACCTGTGGCCATGGAGGGGATTGGAACACCTGAATCCAATGATTTTGAGGGGTGGTCCAATACTTTTGGCAATATAGTGAATGTGAACAGGCCCCATAGGAAGCAATGTTATTTCACATCATGCAGATTGGATGCAGTTCAAACCACATATATGTGAACCGGCCCTTAGAGCTTCAGTCATAGATTCCCCCTTTGGCCACTCTGAAGTCACACTGTGACACAGTGAAACCTGACCCTGACCACCTCTCACTGTTCATTATACTGTGGCTGCTGGTGTGTGCTGTGACAGGAGCACTGCTCATACATCAAACTACATCACAACGCTTTTTTTTTTTTCCGCCAAACCCTACTGAAAATGTAAGCTCACCTTTTTCATAAGAAAAATGAAACCGCAAACTTAGAATGCTTGTAAATCTCAGACATGAAATATGAACAAAGCACATCCCTCTATAGTGTGTAATTGTCTCTATCCAGAGTACTGTCATTTCTGTCTGTTGCCTCAGAGGACAGGCCAGCCTGTGATAGAAAGCCACACTGAGGCCCGTACAGCACAATGTACAGGCGGAAGGACCATAAATGTAGGGGCAGAAGGACCGCGCAGCACAACGTACGGGCGCAGGGACCGTGCGCACAATGTAGGGACGGGAGAACCGTGCAGCAAAACGTACGGGCGCAGGGACTGTGCAACACAATGTAGGGGCAGGAGGACCATAGATATAGGGGCTGAAGAAACGTGCAGCACACCGTACGGGTCCAGGGACTGTGCAGCACAACGTACGGGTCGGAGGACCACGCGGCACACCAGAACACCCCCTGCCTTACCACACAGCACTGTACACAGCCAGGGCTGGTGAACTCCCATAGAATACAGAACATGTGACAGGAGGCAGAAAAGGAAGATTCCATAGAGAGATCCAGCCTATGACCTCATACAGTCTCCTCTCCATAGAACTCCATGGGACAGGTCGCTGCTCCCCTCATCTCAAAGGACACATCCGGGAAGTGCGGGCAGAGGAGACCTGATATCAATGGGGAGCTCTCCCACTGAGCCCGGCACATGTCCACACCGCCGCCTAGAGAGGCCGGATCCCCTCCTCCACCCCGGCGCAGACACAGCACGGCACACAATACCCGGCCACACACACCGCACGGCACACAATCACATCGTGTCATTAGGAACACCCTCTGACCTCTCCGCTACCTCCAGCGCCGCCATTTTAGCCGTGCTCCAGGCTGCACGAACGCCATCTCCAGGCGCCTGCGTCACTAAGGAAGCGGTGTGGAACCAGAGCCAGCCGGCCGGCCCGGGGGTGTCCTCCATTATCAGAGCCTGTCCTCAGTGCGGAGCGCGGGCGTCCATCTTGTCAGAGACACGGCCCTGCCGCCACTCTCCTCTGGAGGGCGCCTCATTCTCTTCTTATTAGCAGGCATGGTGGGCCGCTCCTCTCCCCTCACAGTGATGGCGGGAGACATGGCTGTGTCATCTCCATTCCTACAAACGTGTGTGTGACAAGCTCATCCATACAAATCCCATTCTATTCAGTAAAGGCCGGGTACAGCTCTGGACTTGGTAGCTGAAGCTGTGCTGTTCAGTTTTCTCGCCATAGACTTTAACCACTTGCCCTCTGGAATGGTTTACCCCCTTCATGACCAGGCCAGGTTTTGCTGTTTGGTACTGCGCTACTTCAACTGGCAATTGTGCCATCATGCAACACTGTACCCAAATGACATAATTTTTCACACAAATAGAGCTTTCTTTTGGTGATATTTAACTGCTTCCCATCCACCCTATAACAGTAATACTGCTACAGGGCAGCACGAGTGTGCAGAATCACATATATATATAAATTTTTCATCTCCAGGTAGGGGTATGTGTGTGCCCTACCCATGTCGCCATTCGAGGCCTTGGCTGTCAATCACCAGGCCCCGGCCAGTGATTAATGGCCGGCACCCAGTGATCGAGGAGCATTGCTGGCGGAGGAAGAGAACTGTATGTAAACAATACAGATCTCTCCCCTGTCAGTTCCAGCACATTGCTATACCAGGCTTCACATGCACAGCCATACAAAGCAGTGTGCTTACAATGAAGCATACACACACAGTACACAGTTAACCCTTTGATCGCCCCTCATGTTCACCCCTTCCTGCCCAGTGCCATTAGTACAGTGTCAGTGCTTTTTATCAGCACTGTATTGGTGTCACTGGTGATGTCAGTGACACCAAGTCAGTTCCCCCCAGTATCAGAATGCCTGCTGCAGTGCTATATCACTGATCACTACCATTACTAGTAAAAATAAAAAAACAAATCCCAGTATATATACCACCATTTGTAAACGCTATAACTTTCACGAGAACCAATTGCGATTTACACATATTGGGATTTTTTTCTAGCAAAGACATGTAGCAGAATACTTTTTAGCCTAAATTTATGCCGAAATTAGACTTTTAAAATTATTTTACTGGACATGTTTAATAGCAAAAAGTCCAAAATATTGTTTTTTTTTATTTTTTCTCAAAATTGTTGGACTTTTTTATTTATAGCGCAAAAAATAGAAAAATGCACAGTCAATCAAATACCACTGAAAGAAAGATCTATTAGTGGGGAAAAAAGGACGTAAATTGCATTTGGGTGCAGCGTTGCATGACTGCGCAATTGTCAGTTAAAGTAACTCAGCACCATAACGCAAAAAAATGACTTGGTCAGGAAGGGGGGTAAATCCTCAGGAGGGCGAGTGGTTAAGCAGCGCTGGGTTTTTCTATGTTTTGCTATGTAAATGAAAGATAGAAAATTCTGAACCATCAGTTCAATGGGAAGACAGGTTGTTCTGCTTTATCATTGGAAGCAGGTCCCCTGTGAGTCCCCCTGCAGTGTAGTTGGCTTCTACTCCTCTCCCTCCTGCTGGCTGTACTGCTGGGGGGCACAGGGATATCGGTTTCAGTATCTGCATCCCCCCATCCCCATCGACATCAGTACCAAACATTCCTGTGGTCATTCATAACTGAAGCATAGAAAACTATGTTTACAACGCTTCAGATTGTGAATGGACAGGAAGCCTCCAAGCACTTCCTATTCATTCTCCAGTGTGGCTGAGGCTGCAGAGAAAGGGACTGAGGAATCTATGTTTTCAGTCCCTTTCTCTAAAAAGTGAGACATCAGGGGTCTGTTTAGACCCCTCATATTTCACCAAAGCACCCCCAATAGGGCAGTTAAAAAATGAATAATGTTCTAAAAAAAATTGCAAAAAATAATTTAAAAAATAAGCGCTCATTCACTCATGCTTTGATCTCTGAAGTGTGATCAGCGTTCAGATTGCTCTTCAGAGAGCCTTTGATAGGTGGAGAGGAGGCATATCATCTGCTCACGGTCTGCATTAACCCTGCACTAGCATGCCACAGCCATATGCATTGCACATTTGCAGGGAGCTTGCAGAGCAACGCCATTCACTTGATTTTACTATCAATAGGAATTTACCGCCCCCCTGACCTCACATATAGTATGAACAACCACCAACGGTTCATTAACACAGGCAGGGGCGGACTGACAACTCTTGGGGCCCCCGGGCAATAGGGGATCATGGGGCCCCTGTGTCCTTGCCCAAACTCAAAAAAGCCTATGAAAAAGGTACTAGGGGCATCTCATGGGGCCCCCTACTGACCCTGGGCCCTCGGGCAGTGCCCGAGTTTCCAAAAATGATCAGTCCGCCCCTGAACACAGGTACTCTATTTGTGTGAATGAGTGTTTCATACAGCTGAAGCCACCTGTTACTCTATGGGGACACAGAGGCTGTACAAACACAGCTACAGGTCCTAATTTGGCTGGCGTAATCCCAAATGTACACTGCATTCAGGGCTGCACACCTGCACCCACACACCTATCCAATTAGGACCTGTGGCTGTGTTCATACAGCTGCTGCTGTCCCCATAGAGCAGTGTTTCTCAACTCCAGTCCTCATGGACCCCCCAACAGGTCATGTTTTCAGGATTTCCATTATTTTGCACAGGTGATTTGATCAGTTTCACTGCCTTAGTAATTACCACAGCTGTTTCATCTGAGGGAAATCCTGAAAACATGACCTGTTGGGGGTCCATGAGGACTGGAGTTGAGAAACACTGCCATAGAGTAACATAGGCTGCCTGCATACAGCTCCAGCCCCATAAACTGCTGATTCACACTGTACAGCATTCATGTGAATGAGCCCCAAACCTTCACACACTAAGCTTTATTTATTAACTCAAGAAAGTTTTCTCTTTTAGATTTAGCAGGGAGTTTGTGTCTGCTAATAGTTATTTAGTGTACTTAGAGTGATAATATAATTTTATTTTTTTTTTTGGGGGGGGGGGGGGCCCTGTCGGCCCTCCCCCCCCCCCCCAGGTAGGCTGTACGTTGCCCCCTGATTTCTAACAGCAGCCCTGTCCCTGTGGGTGGGAGTCACTGAACTCACACTGCACCCACACTTGCACAGCTGTCAGATTGGGACCAATCTCCTTGAAGCCAATGTATCCTAATAGACATGAATAGGACTGCCTGCATGCAGATGGAGAACACCTGTTAATCCCATGCAGACGAAGGCTGCTCTCTGCATGGATGTACAAATAGGTACGCCCCTGTTAATGAGGCTTAATGGAATCACCTGTAAACGTGGTATAAGTTTTTTATTTTACATATTTTTGTGCCTGAAAAACCACCCTCCTCTGCTGTCCTCCTCTCACCCAGTCTGATTACATGTGCTTGCAAAAACCTCATAAAACATGCGTATACATGTGCAAAAAACACCCCCTAAAAATATTCTGTAAGTGCTTCCACTTGTGAATGGAGGCTCAGGATCCATTCCTAGTTTGTGCATTGCATTGTTACACCTGTGTTAACACGTCAATGTGCATTGTATTAAGCCCAATCATTTTGAAGGCACTGCCAACACACATGAACAGGAATGCAGCATTTCTTGCGGAACAGTGCAGCACAATACGCAGTAGTGTGTTACCATGCATTTTCGTGAACTGCAACACACGAGTGTTAGAGCTGCATTGCCTTCCTGTGCTGGGGTGCCATTTAAAATGAATGGAAACACAATGATGCACGTAACACACCGCAACTTGATGCATCGCAAAAGCGTTTCAGCCTTTACGGTTCTGTGTCATGGTTGGGGAAATGGGATGGCTTTGCTTTTCTCCCTGGTTATCTCTCTCCTTGTTGGACTACCTCTAAAAATTATATCCCCCCCCCCCCCTTTCAGTCTATCATAAATGCTGCTGCTAGACTCGTACACCTTACTAACTGATCTGTGGCTGCTGCTGTTCTCTGCCAATCCCTCCACTGACTTCTGCAACCAACAACTCTCTCCCAGCCACATCACCAACCTCATCTCAAGACATTGCCCAATAAAAACAAAAAAAAGTCTATGGAATGGTTACTGACTTCGTGAGTTAGTTGGAAAAATGCGTGTTGCCTGGCTTTGAAACAAAGGGGGACCCAAAATCCAGCGGCTCCTGAGGGGGTGGCCTTACATACCTATTGTATTCTATTATATGGACAGGTATCCTTAAAGATAAATTGTTAAGAAAATATTGTTTAATTCAAGAGGTATGTGAAGGTTTTACTTGAATCTTGGTGTGCTTTGTGGAGTTCTTCCAGACCTGTGTAGTAATCAGATGTAGAACTTTGCCTCTGTACAGAATTTTCTGTATTTAAGACCTGTCAGTACTGTTTTCCCTCCTTGTGCAGGGTGACTAGTCTCGTCTCTGCCCCTTCCTGTGTTCTGGAGGAAGCCTGTAGTGGATGGAGCTACTGCGTCCCTCCCACAGCTCTTCTCTCTGTGAAGACTATGCAAATGACAGTGATAATGTCACCACCACTACAAGGTAATAAAGAGGGTTACAAGGAATTTGGTGCACACAAAGTGAATGTAAATCCTTAGTGGCTATCAGTGAACATAAAATTAAACATTTTTATTATGTTTTTGCGCCTGGGGTCCAGCCTTAACGAACCATTGTGGGTGGTGCATAGATAGCAGTTACTGTACGTAAGGAGTTAAAAGAACAGAAAGGGAAGGAATGAGAAAAAAGTCATTCAATGCAGAGCATAAAAGGAGGGGAAAGCAATTACTTAAGGCATTTTGCTTTTTAGATTTTGATACTCATTAAGTAAGCGTCTAAGACTGCTAGAGTGTAGTTCGCTGGCATGCTTGGGGAACAGTAGCATTACATTACCAATCATTTAAAGTGGGAGTAAAGCCATTATGTTAATTCTTACCTACAGTTAAGCTGCTAATAAAGCTTATATCTTCCCCACTTAACATACCTTGTCCAATAGCACAATCAACA